CACCCTCTACTTAACCCCTTTCTTTCTATCCCCTCTCACCTCAAACTTCTTGTCCCCTTCAATATCTCTTTTCAATCTCTCTATTTCACTCAACTTTCTTTTCTTTACCTTACTATCCTCTTTTTTATGCAGATAACTTTTAGATCATTTGGATTCTTCAGTTTACACCCCAGCTTTTGCACAAATTCTGCAACTGATTCTTCCTTGCTAGTTTCCTCCTTATCTAAAGTTCCTCTCTTCTCACTCCTTTCCTTATTTCCTCCATCATTTGTCCTTTCTATCCTTTCTGTAAACCTCCTCTGCATTTCCTTCCTTTCCACTTCACCCATTAGACCCTCAATGATTTCCCAAATCTTTATCTCCCTACAAGTTTTCTCCACCACTTCCTCTCCTTCCTTATCCCCTTGTTCCCCCACTGTGGCTTTCTGACCATGGGCCTTGGACACTTGGTTGAGAAAGGAATCTGGAACAAGGGACACAGAGAACTCATCAGTAGCAAAAACTGAATTGACAGAGTTAACAGAAATACCTGGGGTCAACTGAGGGTGGAGAGGGGTATTCAAATGAGGAAGATTGGTTGTCACTCCCTGTTCAGAGAATTTGGATCTCTCTATCTCCTCGGATTGGAGGAAATTCATCCCCGTCACTTGGTGTGCACAAAGACCTCTTCCTGTACCCAATTGTTTACCTCTCTGTGATGTACTCTTGTTCAGTTCAGAGTAAACTCGGGCTGACTCCTTCTCGGATTCTTGCAAGACACTAGAACTTGGGAGGGGCACGTCCAGTTTTGGGCTAAGGACTGCTCTGTTACAGGTGTTTGTTTYGTTCACCCACTCCYKTTTTTCCTTTTGTTCCYCCACTGCCTCCTCAAGAAACATAAGTTCCAGATTTAATGTTCCCCTGTTTTGATCTTCAATATTATCTTCATTTTCCGAGCTGCCCAAACTTTCAAACTCTTCTGAATTCTCATCACAATCATTCTCTGAGCTGCAGCTTATCCATCCTTTGTCTTCCTCTTCCCTCTCTTCTATTCTGTTCCTCGCATAACGCGGGTTTGGGTGATCAAGACCAAGGCTTTTATGTTCGTCACTGGCCTGTCTACATTCCCAACTCAGAGTCCGATTACCCCCTGTCGCGCGTCTGTTCTGGTGTTTCAGGTGTTCGGCCGAACCCTCCTTAGACGATGATAAATGACAAGTTTCATCTATCATCGAGTTTTCACAAAGCCGCCCCACGTGAAAACTTAAGTTGTCACGTGGGCCTCTTAAGGTGCAACTGGGTTCCCCTCTTGTCTCACCCCTTTTTTCTAGCCGGTTCAGAAAAAGGATTTTTTAACGTAAACCACTTGGCCCTTTTCCCCTTCTGGCCACGTCAGCAAAGGAAGGGCCACCCCTGAAACTCAGTTTAGTTTCAAAGAAATTTGAATTGATAGCCTTAAAGGGAAGGCTTCGATACAAGTAACCTCCCTGCGACTGTTCCCCTTCCTCTTTCACTATCGCATGCGCATCAGACTTCCCCTCCAATCCCTGAGAGCCATGTGTGCTCCAACCTGTGAGCTCCTCTCCGTTTCCTTCCTCTGTTTGTCTTCCCCACAGCGACACCTCAGCTTCTGAGGCCGCCCAAACTCTATACCAAGCACCATCTGAGTGCACTTCAAAAGAATGAGGCACATTTTCTGGTTTGATACCTGCGACTTTGAGTTCTACAGCACGCAAGCACCTCAAGTTCACCTCCAGCAGGACACCCCCCAAAGCTCTTGTGAGTCTCCTGAGAGTTGGTTTGTTCCAGAGATTAAAGGGTAGCCCTAGAAGCTTGATCAGAAGACTACCAGCTTTTGGCTCTACTTCGTTGCAAACTGAAACCCAGTTTTGAATCTGTATTAGTCTTCCTTCTACTTGGGTGGTGCTAAAGTTCAATTTCTTATTGCCAACATCTAAGATGGCTTTCTTCTTTGCAAAGGGTAGCAGCATTGCTTCTTCTTCTAGGCCCAGTTTCTCAGCAACTGCAACTAGTATCTTCGACCAGTCCCTTATCGCCTTATCTGCCATTAAGACCATCTTGTTCTCCCACTTGCCTCTCCCTTCTTCAAATGCTAATCTCCGGTGTTCAGTTGAACTAGCTACCAATATTTCCGGACTTTGATTCTTATGAGGCTCCGGGGAACAAGACTTTAAGGGGACATTTTTTACTGGCTTGCTATCAGAAACTTCCACTAGAACTTTCCTCTCAATCTCCACAAGAAACGCCTGAAGACTGAGAACCAAGGATGCCCAGCCTTGCCCCTTTTTTCCTTCTGGAATACAAATCACTTGGCTTTTGTTAATGCCAAAGTGCTCTGTAACCGAAATAAACCACCCTCTTCCATTCCTTCTTAGAATAGATTCAAATCTTTTTCCCCGATAGATCACTGAGTTCCCCCATCCTTCTTCCTGGATGGAATTAACAGTTCCATCAACAAATCCTTTCAACCAAAGACACACTTCACCTGGTAGGAAGACTGTTGCCCTGCTGCCTTCTCTGATTTTCAGATGAGCCTCCCCCTTTGTCCTTCCCTGCTCGAATAGGAATTTTTTTTGCTTCAATGGAAGTCTCCACATGCCACCTCCCTGCTGGCCTGAAGTTTCTCTCCTCTCCCGTACTCCCCATCTCACCTCTCATTCTTCGTCTTCTTCTCTAGGCAAACCATCAATCTCTCGCTCAGTCTCTCTCTCATATTTCTCTCCCATACCGACCCAGGTTCTATCGGCGTTTGATGCTGGTTTGTTTTTATTCGCCAGGCCCAGGCTCAGGAGTGGCTGAACCTGTCAAAGCCCGAGTTGCCCAGTCCAAGCTACTACAGGAGGTCTCTGTACGGTGATATCACTCACAGGGCTCTTCTCGTCGACCACTGATGAGTGATGACCAATCTTGGAGGGAGAACGGGAGAACAGCGGGTTCAGCTACAGCAACCGAGCTGTCCTCCACCCAAGGAAGAAGATGTTGCCGGTGTTGCATTAGCTTCATTTTCTCCGTCGGCCTCACCACTGCCTTCTTGTGGCTCAACTTACACATCGACCATCCCAGTGATGATGAGTGGTGAGAACGAGCTTGAGATCAACGCCATTCTCGGCAGCCACCCGAAGGATCTTCTCTGGCTCCACGGGATCGACAACTGCAGCTTCTTTAGGTGTCTTGTCGATGATTCTGCAATACAAGAGGCGGCGATAAGAAATACACGATAAGAAATGCATCTGCAATACAAGATGTCTCGTCGATGGTCCAAACTGCGAAGAACTTACATGTACGAGTAGTTGTCTTCGAGGCAAAGAATGGGGAGGATCTTCATGGCGAATTCTTCATTTCTTCTTTGTTTGTTCGTAAGTTAATTAGGGTCCGGTCCCTTCAGATTTTCTTGTTCCTACGATATTTAGTTGGAGAATCTCTCACTCTCAGGCAAGGTATTCAGCTCGTCGCCCGCCACGGACTCGAACCGTAGCTAGCCGGTGACACGTATGGTGCACCGTGGCAGCAAAATAAAAGCTCTAGATCTTTAGAACCATTACATAAGTTCTACCCCAACGCGCGGTTGATGAGCGTTGATATGGACATTGGAAAAACGACAAACGAAACTTCAAGTGTTTTGAGAGATTTATATCTATATATATTATATATAATGAAATCAATAATTATTATATTAAAAGTATTATAAATTATGAATAGTAATAATGTAATATTAATAATGCTAATATTATAATATAATCATATAATATTACTAACATTATAAATTAATGATTAATATTATAATATTCATTATAATATGCTCTAGTAATATTCTAATAAAAATGAATTAATTACAATATTAATCATCATCGTACAGTTTCATTAATTATTAATAATATTTCATTAATTAATAATAATTATATTAATTCATAATTAAGTAATAATTAATTAATCAATCAGTAATTATTAATAGTAGTTAATTAATTATTAATAATAGTTATTAATTAATCATAATAATAATAATTAATTATTATTACTTATTAATAATTAATTAATTATAATTAATAAAAATACTAATTATTAATAATATGTATTGTTTAATCATAAAAATAAATAATTATTGATTAATAATCTTTGAATTAATTATTCATCGATTATGAATTATTATTAATTCTTAATATTAAGTATTAATTACTAATTAATTGTTAATTAATAATATTTTTTTACTTATTATTAATTAATTAATATTAATGATAGTTAATTAATTGTTAGTAATAAATATTAATTATTAATAATAGGTATTAATTAATCATAAAATAATTAACTATTCATAAATAATTAGTGATTAAAAATTAATGAATTAATCATTAATTTATTATTAATTAATTAATAATAATAATTATTATTATTAATTATTAATAATTAATATTAGGTAATTATTTTTGCCCCTGCATAGCAGGAGCCCCTTGCTAGTATTTTTGGAACTGGAAGAGGAGAGGATGTGAAATATAGAGGGCTGGATGGGGTTTTGGTTTTTCCATATTGTTTTTGTTTTGTTTTTTTTTTGTTTTTTTTTTATTGTGGGGATGAGACATGCTTAAGTTTTAAGAATTTAGTGTTTGCTTTTAGCTGGTTAGGTGGCAGTAGGGGACTATGAGGGTCAACTGTATGTGCCCTTGTTAGTTTTTCTTTTGTAGATAATCTAACTAATATTTTTGATAACAATGTGGTGTCTTTGATCAATAACTGATGTTGAAATGAGTATACAAGGTCCTGTTTTTCCATGTCTTCTTTTTGAACTTTTGCTCATCTCTGCGTTTTGTAATTTTCCCACATTATTAGCTGTTATAGCCTTAGCAAGCTTAAGTAGTTTAACAGAAGATACAGAGTTTGCATTTTAATTTAAAGATTCCAATCATTTCTGGCTGGAGTTCTTCTTGCATTTTCCTGAGCATATGTTTACATTTCATGAAGCTCTTTATTTCTTGCAGGGTTAAGATTATTATTTTTCCTTGTTTCAGGACAATATATCAAAAATCCGAAAAGTTTATGATACTTTCTTAGCAGAATTCCCATTGTGTTATGGTTACTGGAAGAAGTATGCAGATCATGAGGCGTGTTTGGGTTCTATTGACAAAGTTGTGGAGGTGTATGAACGAGCAGTTCAAGCAGTCACCTATTCTGTGGACATTTGGTTGCATTATTCTATTTTTGCTATATCAACATATGGAGATCCTGATACCATTAGAAGGTAATTTAGGTAAACTTGTTTGTAGTGTTACATACATGTGTGTCTTTCTTGTTATAATGAGATTCTGGTGATTTGTTACTATTTCTAACCTTGTTTTGGCATGCCTGTAACAGTTGTGCCTCCATAAGGAAATATTTGCTGGGACACACTTAAGAAATGCGGTTTTCTGATGTGCAAACCCATTTGTTCTGAAGCTACTATATACAGTAGCTGTTTCAATTTTTTTTTAAGGATTCAACCTTGTGGCCTCAACATGTCCTTTCCCTTTCCACTTTTCTCCGAGGCATGTTTAGTAGTCATGTAGTTTGTCACGAATTTGCGTTTTTTTTTTTTTTTTTTTTTTTAATTCTCACACTAAGGATATAATGGGTGCATTAATATTCAAAATGCTCCTGGGAAGTTCACATTCAGTTTAAGGGCTAAGATGGCCTGTATCTCTGCTCCATTTCAAGGGCATATTATGTTTCTTTTTTTTGTCAGGAAGGTAATTTAACTTAATAAGTTTCATATTCTGTTAAGAGAAATTCATTTTTTACTTCCACCTTTAACTTAGATAAGTGTCATAGGTGTCATATGCTGCAGTGTCATAGCTGGCACTACATATTTACATATGCCATAACCATCTTCAACATTCTTATGATGTTTTAGGTTGTTTGAACGTGGATTGGCTTATGTTGGGACAGATTACTTGTCCCATTCTCTTTGGGATAAATACATTGAGTATGAATACTCACAGCAGGAGTGGAGTCACCTTGCCATGATTTACACAAGAATTCTAGAGAATCCTATTCAACAACTGGATCGCTATTTCAACAGGTGATTTCTATTGTTAGCAGTTTACAGATTCATGCTTTCAACTAACTATTTGAATGATCAGGCTTCTGAAATCTGTATTTTCATCTGTATCATGTTTCAAATATTTTATGGGTAGGCTTATTTCTGGTAGTATAAATAGTTTTCTGGTTATCAAAGAAAGAATTTGTGATTGGGGATCTAGAATTCTTTGATCTTAGAGTCAGTTACCTTTTGCTCCTGGTAGTTCAGTCATCTTGGTACTCCCATGTTGTATATTTCATTGTACCATGACATTGTTTTTGTAACCATCAGGTTCTATTGTGTGTGTGTGTTTTGATTGATAACATGAATTTATTTCATTGTTTAAAATAAATGTACAAAGAAATATACATCAATGAAGAGGAAAACAGTCATTCTCTTCCCCTTTAAGATATAATTATGATTTATTTACAACTCAGCCCCCAAAAACTGATTTCTATTCATTTCTTGTTTAGCCAGATTATCAGCCAAAGCATTGGCTGTTGTTTCAATTCATTGCACCTGTGCATTTCTCTAGTTAACCATTTGAACTTCTTGATTTGATTCCTAAAAACCTCCATGGAGCTTCTTCCTTATTCCTCAACCCGCCCACCACCACCTTAGAGTCCCCTTCTATCACTAGCTTTCCAAACTCTATATCTCTTGCCTTTTGTATCCCTTGAGTTATAGCCATCCATATCTCTATTTTGTGAGGTTTATTTTTGACTTGTCAAAGCGGGGTCCAGATCTCCTATACCTTTTTTCCTTAACTTTCTCCCACACTACCATTTAGTCTGTGACAGGTGTCCCCTTACATGTTTGTTAATACTCATTCATATGAGAGTACACATGTAATGGGACACCTATTGCACACTGAATGGAAGTGTTGGGGAAAGTTGAGGAAAAAAGTGTAGGATACCAAGAGTTGTCAAGGAGTTCTCATACTAGGGCTGCAACAAATTGGTCAAATTTGGATTGGGGCATATTTGATTTCATTCAACAAGAAATCTGACAGATTCAAATTTGACAAGAATCCAATGGCTTTTTCAGAACGAGACTCAAATTTTATCTGTTAATAGAATGTTTTCTGGTTTTGAATCCGCAAATAGAATGTTTTCTGATTTTGAACAACAAATGGTCATCTAATCTCATATTATTGCTTAAGAATGAAGAAAGAAAAAGAAGGCGAAATGTTCAATAGAATCTATAGAAGAAAAGTTCAAAAGCGGTGGATAAGTTGGGATCTGGGGAGGAGAACTTGGTGGAACGACAGATGTTGAGTTGCAGTTTGTCTAGTAAGTTGGCTATGTGTGATCATGGGAACAAAGTGGTGGAGTCAGGTTCGGCCAAGGACAAGGGGGTGGCGTTGAATTTGAAGGAGGTACAATGAAGATAGGAGAAGATGCTTCAGCAATGTCTGTGGTGACGAAAATCCACCTGGTTATAGTTGTCCTCAGCTTATTGATCAGAGAGTTAAAAGTATCAGTTAATGTTGTCATCAGAAGTAGCCACAACCGATTCTTCATAGATCAACTGAAGATGCAAACCGTGATACAAAAAGCTATTAGAAATGTTGTCGTGGGGAGATTGAGATTTTTGTCCATCCTTAAAATGTCGTTGCTGGGAGGTTGAGATTGGCCCTGATGGAAGGCTTGCCGAGAGGATGAAGACTCTAAATGCAATTTTGATAGGAAGGTTCATTGGAATGGATTTGGACGGGAAGAAAGTGGTTGTCTGGGCTTCTTTTGAATGGGGTAAGGAAAGAGTTTGGGGTGTCAGAAGACTGAACAGGGGACTGTTTTTGTTTATGTTTTGTGGGAGCGAGGAGGCGGAGTGGGTTATGGAGTCCGAAGCCAAGATGAGTAGGGGCTGTGATTTACGTTTAATTTGGTAGTTTCCAGCGGCAGGACCTGTTCAAGAAGGCAAGAGGAGGGGACGATGCAGATTGGACTTCTGGGCATCCCTTTGCATGTATGGAGTGTTGATTCCTTCAGAGTAATTGGGGACGCCTGTGGTAAGTTCTTGAACGCGGATGAAAGGAATAGCAGATAGGATAAACTGGATGTTGCGAGAATTCTGGTAGAAGGATGAGGTCTCTAACATCTTGAACTGTTTAGCTTTGGCTTTTGCAGGTGAGAAGTATGACTTGAGGATCTTTGTCAAGGGGGAGGATGAAACAAAATTAGAGCTTCAGGATGTTTGCTCTTCTGAAGAGGGGAAGCCGAAGGGTCGTTAGAGGGAGGAAGACGATGAGGAGAAGATACAAGCGGTAAAGTGGTAATTTCTGGTGGGGCCGGAGCTTTATTTAAGAGACACATGGCTGGAGCTGGCAAAGGAAATTTGGAAAGTCGTAGCTTAGAGGATGAAAGTTTAAGTGAAGCTTTTGATTGGTCTTAGTCATTGAATGTGACCTTGGGTGCTAGGAGTGGGGACCACTTGCCGGGTTTGAGGTTTAAGTATGTTTGTGGTGGGCTTAGGCACAATAAATTATTGGTATACAAAGGGTTAGACAACAATATTTTGTAGTTCAAGAGGAGAAAGAAGAGAGATTTTTACAGGTTTTGTTGTGATAAGGTGGAGGGTTGGGTTTGGGTCATTTCTAAGTTTGACAACTCTGGAAAAAACTAATGAGCCTAGAGAATGAGAAGAGTCGAGTCGGTGAGGAAGTGCTTCGCCATCTTGTGTGTAGTGGACCTAGTAATGATTTAGAGGAGATAAGTGTTGGGAAATCAGAGGAGTAGACAAAGTCGAACCGGATAATAGGTAAGTCTATTTGTTTTGGTTCTTTCATGGTTGAGATCCTTGCTGATTTGCCTCAAGTAGGGTGTTGGTTTCGTCTGAATGGGAAGCTGCTAGTCTTTAAGGAGATAGGGGAGGAAAGGAGGCTGGGTTCAAGGAGAGGAGGAAGATGTAAGGGGGGAAGAAAGCCTTAAGGAGAGGAGAGAAGGGGAGAGTCTCAAAGAAGGGGTAGCCAAGAGGTTGGAAGCGACTTGTCAATCTAAGGAAGCGAGTAAAAGAGAAGAGAGTGGTGGGTTAGAAGTTTGAGAAGAGTATTTATGTTTTGAAGTCCCAGTTGGTAGGCTTGGAGCTGATTTAGGCCGAAAAAGAGATTTTGAGAGCAAGGAAAAGGATGATGTTACTTCAGAGAAACTAAAGAAAGTGAGAGAGTCTAGTAATTTCAAAAGTTTTTTGTTTTTTTTTTAAAGATTGAAAGATGGATTGGTTGGTGCTGGCCCTACTAACAAATTCAAGAAAGTTTACAAGAAGAGAGTTTCAAAAGGTAAAAGACTAAGAATGTTGAGATCCAAGGAGCCAATTGTCAAGTTTCAGCAGGGGTTGAGGTGCAATGGACGCTGGATTTTAAGGATGGTTTGGAGTCAAGGTTAGAACTTGAGGAAAAGGAATAAAGGGGCGATTGAGTTAGTGAGGAAGGATTAATTGTGAATTCCTCAGTTAGTGTGGGTGAGAAGGGAGGAAAGCAGAGAAAGTTTGGTTGATAGGGATGTTAGGGTGGGTAGGAGCTTGGGTTTGTTTGTTTGTTTTTTTGGGGGGGTGGGGGGTGGGGGTGGTGAGTCCACTAGAAAGGGTTTTGAAGCTTTTGAAAGAAGCAAGAGGGAAGAGAGTTTGAAGAAGATCACAGTTGGAAAGGAAAGTAGTGAGACAAGGAAGGAGATCGATCTTCTCTTGTTTTGGATGGCTTTCCCTTGAAGAAGACTTTTAAATTGCTCTTGTTTTGGATGACTTTCTTTTGTTCCTTCTGTATTGTGCTTTTAATTATGCTTGTTGTTGTGGTTTGGGCGGGTGTTATCTTTAACACCTAGCTGTTGCTTGTAATCGATCTTCTCCTTTTTCTCTTTTAATAAAAATTTTCCTTTTGTCTTTCAAAAAAAAAAAAAAAAAAACATAGTGGAGGAAAGGTCTGCTCTGGAAAAATTGGTTGATAGGGAAGTCCAAGTTGGCAAGATGTTGGGTTGGTTCTTCTTGGGTGGGGAGGAGTTCACCAGGAAGGAGAATGTTTCTAGTGATAATTAAAGCATTATTGATGAAGCTTTGGAGGTGGTTTAGGAGTAAGCTTTTGAGCTTGGAAGTAGATTGTTTCAGGGGGGGGGGGGAGCATAGTTGTGAAGGCAACACCTAGGCATGCGTGTAGGTGACAAGGCACCCATGGATGCTCGCCTCGCCTAATAGCCAAGCAGTTATGTATATTGTGTTAAAAAAATGCTTTTATATTCTTAATTTTTGTGAGTTTATAATTATATAAAATAGACATTATTAAACTAAAATATTCATCTTGTGTGTTTGTATGCTAATTTATTTTTATTATTTTCTTATTTGTTAGGGTTTAATCAAGTAAATCAACACAAACATTGCTAACTGCTATTATCGAACCCTCAAAGACTTCAAAACCTGAACCAATAAGGAAGAAATTAAAATTTTGTCTAATCAACTCATTTTCTTCTTCCTTTCTTCTTCCACCTTTTCTTCTTTTCATATAACAAAAATAGGGGTTCAGCCCCTATATTTTTTAAATTTTCTTTTCCTTCTTTTTCTTCTCATGAATATGTTGATTTTCTGTACTTTAACATGAAGTTTATACTTTTCTTTTGAAAATTGTGGAATTGAATCCCGCCTGCACCTAGGTTGGGGGATGGGCTACCCCCGTTGTGTAGCTCTTCAAAGGATATCAAAGAAATTATGGAGTTATGGAACAGACTGCCTTCTAGCTCCTGGTGGAGATTATAATCCCGGCTGCAGTTCAGACTGCCTTCTTGGGTCTGAATTGCAGTTTGTTTTTGTTTCTCTGTGCTGAATAAAATTACATTACCTTTTCCAAAAAAGAAATATGGTTATGGAACATAGGGAACTACCCTAGGATATATGTTTTTTACTTGAAAAAATCCATCACCTAGGCGACTAGGGGACAAGCATACTTATCAAGGCCTAGGTGACAAGGCACCATTGGAGGCTCGCCCCAGCTAATTGCCAAGCAGTTTTGTATATCATGTTATAAAACATTTTTATATTCTTATTTTTTTGAGATTATAATTATAAAATAGACATTATTGAACTAAAATATTCATTTTGTGTGTTTGTGTACTAATTTCTTTTTATTATTTTCTTATTTGTTAGGGTTTAATCATCACAAACATTGCTAACTTCTTCCTATAACAAAAATAGGAGTTGAGCCCCTTTTTTTATTTTTTTTTTGAAGTTTCTTTTCTTTCTTCTTTTTTCTTCTCATGAACATATTGATTTTCTATACTTTAGATGAAGTTTATACTTTTCTTATGAAAATTATGGATAATTATTAAGGACATGTTGCTACAGATTCTAGTACCTTAGGATATGTGAAAAATCGATTGCCTAGGCGCTTGGGCAACAAGGCGCCCCCCCCCCCCCTTGTCGCCTAGCCTCACCTTGGCACCTTGAAAATTATGGGGGTGGGGGTTGTTTAATCCAAAATGGAAGGGTTGTTATGGTGTTACTTTCTCTCGAATGATTCCTTATCTGTTTTTTTTTTGACCAATTCGAATGATTCCTTATCACCTTCCTATTGTATTCTCCTTTTATTTTTAATTTTAAAAAAAGTAATTATTTTTCTATTAAAAAAGAAAAAGAAGGTGAAATGGCATACCTGAACATTTTGACTCAGATCCTAGATCCCTAATATAAAATCTATGGCTTGAGAAACCAAAAAACCTTGTTCTAAGATCTTCCAACTACTGCAAATGATGCTAGATGGTCATTTTGGAATGCGAGAGAGTCTCAGATGTTCATCTCTTTAGGTTTAGGTTTAGCGAAGGTTAAGGGGACTGAAGAGAATGAAAGAGAGAGATTAGGGTTTTAGGTGTTAGAGTAATTAACATAGCATATATAATGCTATATATACTTATCAAAAAATATTATATCAAATATGAAATATATATTTGAATCTTGATCTGATCTGATTCACTGAAGACCAAATGGATATTCAAATCCAGCAATAAATGGATTAAATCTGAATTTAAATTGGATGTAATCTGTTTCATTTGCACCCTAGATCATATTCTTTGAGCTGTTGAAATATGGTTATGAGTCTTCGTAGCTAGGTGCACCAGGAATTTCTACTTGGGGTTCTTGAGAAGCTGCTTTTGCAGTGCTATGTGCACAAAACTTGCTTATCTATTTGTCCATGCAGCTCAACATGGCTCAAGCTCCCCAAATGATTTGGCCATTGCTCTATTTAGACGCATAATATAATTAATTATGTGACAACTATATGCTTTCTTTATCCTTTCTTTGCATTTTTGTTCCAACTTCCATGTATGAGTGTTCTCATTGCCTTTATCCAAGGCATTATTTAAAACAAATAAACCACTAGATTTCTTTGGGATTAACCCACTGATTGAATACAATCAAAATTTTCGTTTCTAACTATCTTGAGTCTGCAGTCCTTACTGATCTACTTTTTGGCTCTTCGCTGAGGATAAACAGAATTTATGTGGATACAGACGTAACCTTTCACATTTTGTTTTTCACAAAGGGGCACTCTCAGACTCATTATTCACATTCTCAAGCTTGTCAGGCAGAGATTTTACTGTTGCACCAAGCAATAGCCCCTTGTGTATTCCTATAGAAGATACACATTGCATCTGGGACAAACTACATAGTATCTTGCTTAATTACGAAGAATTAGATATCTTGATTAACTGAAGCTTGTATACAAGTCTTAGGGATTGTTTGATAATGGCTGAATTAACCGAACTGAATGGGCTATTGATTTGTTTTGTGAGATCCCAAATGGTTGAATGACATGCTATTTTGATTATTATACCCCTAACTATTTTAGTATATAACTATTTTGCCCACTAAAAGACAAGGCAATAAGACATTAAAGTCAGGTGCATCAGCTATATATGAAATGGCCCCTTAGGGGCCTTTGAACAAGGTTTTTGTGCATATCATCATCATCATCATCTAAGCCTTGTCCCATCTGTATGGGGTTGGCTACTCGGCTACATGAATCCCGTTTTGCCATTCTGTTCTGTTTGTGTGCATATGTTCACATATAAATAGTCATATGTGTGCATGCAACATGCAATATATACACAAAAGATACATGTACATGTATATTATATTATTATTTTTGATTGTTTGTTTGTGTTGGTTTCTATTTTATATTATGTTATATTATATTTCTATTATTTTATGTTTATGGTGCCATCAATATTACAGTTTTAAGGAGTTGGCTGGAAGTCGTCCTTTATCTGAATTAAGGACTGCTGAGGAAGCTGCTGCCATGGCTGCTACAAATATGGAAGCTAGTGGCCAAGGAGTTGACAGCGAGGTTCATCCTGATGGCGTAGAACAATCTACTAAACCTGTAAGTGCAGGATTATCAGAAGCAGAGGAGATGGAGAAGTATATCGCCATTAGGGAAGAGATGTATAAGAAAGCTAAAGAGTACGACTCTAAGATAATTGGTTTTGAAACAGCTATCAGGAGGCCATACTTTCATGTACGACCCCTAAATGGTGCAGAGCTTGAAAATTGGCATAACTACCTGGATTTTATTGAACAACAGGATGACTTTAACAAGGTATGTGAGTTCACTTCAGCACTAATGGAAAGTGCTTGCTCTCTTCATGGTTTGTAGCTTTTAGTCATCTAGCTTGTTGTTTATTGACTTACAATTAAGTCATATTTGCTGCATTATATACTTTATTGGCAAAAGTGTTAGGTGAAGCAACTTTTAAAACGGGAATTTGAACTGAGGTTAAAGCATGGGCCTACCATTTGGTTTCTTTAAGGCTAAGTACTTCAAACCCTCATTTGTCAGTCGACATTCTAGGTTCATGGTATGTGTTGTATGCTAAATGTTAATTCTTTTAAAATTCTAGTGTTATACATGCAGGTATCTTGTTTTCTGCCTAACCATCTATCTGTCAGGCAAGGAGGGTCCCTCCTTTCGTATTCGAGGGGCCTCCATGTTCAGCCATCGGAGTATCCCTTATGCATTTCTCTTCATTGCTCTGTTCCATTCATTTAATTCATGCAACCTTTGAATCAAGAGTTGTGATGTCATGAATACCATTTCAGGTTGTCAAGCTTTATGAAAGATGCTTAATTGCCTGTGCTAATTATTCCGAATATTGGATACGGTATGTTTTGTGCATGGAAGCCAGTGGAACTGTGGATCTTGCTAATAATGCACTAGCTCGTGCAACACAAGTTTTTGTCAAGGTATGGGTGCTTTTTCTGCAATGTCAAATTGTTGCTGAAGTATCAAACAGCAAGACGCATAAGACAAAGATAAGAATTGTCAAACATTCATGAATTGCATGCTATACATGCCCAAAGTCTATGGAATTTAATGTGCCATAAACTATGATGTACCAGACCTTGAAAATATCATGGTTTTAATGCAGATGGAAGACAAAAAAGTATTAAGAAAAATCTAGATAAAAAAGCAGATGGTGTTTTATTATGGTCATCAGTCAACAAAATCTAAGATAAAAAACATTATGCATCGAAGTCTAAGATTGAAAGGTCGATCCTGTAAATAGAATATATCATGACCAGTTTTACTGTAGAGAAACTTCCCAGAGTAGAATTGGTTACTTCCCAATTAAAATTGCGATAAAAAAAATTTAAACTTATTCTTAATTCTCTGGGTTCCAAGATCTGCCAATAATTTGGCGGATTCCTTGGTTCATGAAGGGGTGGGTAGATAACAGCTGTGTTGAGGAGAATGTCCATTGTGTTAATACTGTAATATGTACAGGGTTCTTAATGGAATAGGGCCTTGTGAATAGTTGCTAGTGTTGCTTTCTGTAATTTATTTCTTACAGAATTATGAACACCGTGTACATAAGCACCTATTCTATTTTTTCAATAAAATCTACATTGCTGATAAAAAAGATGACTGCAAAGAAGTACTACAGGCAAATTGATCAAAAAAAAAAAAAGAAGTACTACGGGCAAAGCCATAGTTTTTTGTATTTCAATTGTTAGTCAGCATAAACTGATTCCGCTACCATTCAGGTCATATACAAGTGCTATTTAGGAGTATGATACTTGGCACCTGTACAGGGCCTACAGGGCTAGCATACTGGTGTTGGATATGATTACCGGATACTGCATGGATATTTCCAGACATACTTTAACATTTTTAAAATATGTTTAACAAATCATACTTTAAAAAATCTCTGATATGTTAGGACCTTCGGAATAACCTTGGGGAAGTTTGGGGTTTCAAATTTGTAATTTGGATAATTTATATTGAACTGTAATACTTAGTTTGTCTGGAGGTGTTGCCTCAACACCTGTCTAGGTTATATCATTTTTTCCTTTTAATGAAGTTTTATTTTTACTATAAAAAATTTAATTAAAGGGCATAAGTCTTGAATAAAATGACAAATGACATCTAGCTTCAAAAGCCAACATAATTGCATGATATAAACATATTACATGGGATACCCATACCCATATCCATATTGAGTGTTGAGGATTTTAGGAAATGGAGAGTCGTATCCCTGTTTCCTGTATACGTGTCTGTGCACATCTCTATTTGTGCATTGTAGGTTCAGGAACAAGGCCACTTGAAATATTTAGTTAAGTTGAGGTATTGCTGATGATTTTGTTTCCCTAGTCTGATAAGTTTTGGTGTGGGATTGGTTCCTTTGTGTTTTACTTCCCACCACTTTTTTTTTTACTGTGTGAAATGTTGTTGATGTCCTTGACAGAGGCAACCAGAGATACACCTTTTTGCTGCTAGATTTAAAGAGCAGAATGGTGATATTCCAGGAGCCCGTGCTGCATATCAACTAGTGCACTCTGGAATTTCACCTGGTCTCCTGGAAGCTGTTATTAAGCATGCAAATATGGAACACCGACTTGTAAGACAATTCAAACCTGTTATAGGTCCCGATCTTTATTATGTTATTATGGCTAGTTATCTAGTCTTTCTATTTGATCTTGCAGGGAAATTTACAAGATGCATTATCACTATATGAACAAGCCGTTGCCACTGAAAAGGGAAAGGAGCAATCTCAAACATTGCCAATGCTGTTTGTTCAGTATTCACGGTTTTCATACTTGGTAGGTGTGGCAGCATTTGTCCATATGAAGTATGTAGCTTTTTTTCTCTTTCATCCATGGGATCTAGAGCTGTTGGATTAGCATTTTAGAAGAATTAGTTCTAGCATTTTTTATTTGAGGTTCATTGACATGAGATTTTCATTTCGCTGAATATTGAAAGCATAGTGCATTCTATTATGGTTTGAATTGCTCAGTATATGTTGAATATTCTCTAATGCAAGCTCAATTTTAGGTTGCTGGGAATGCTGAAAAAGCAAAGGAAATTCTAGTTGAAGCCCTTGAGCATGTACAACTGTCAAAACCGCTTTTGGAGGTTTAAACTCTTCATTGTTTTTGTGCAATTCTGTTTCATGTGTTTGTTGATATTACTTCAGTCAATCACGTTTGTAGTTGACCATGGTATACTCTTCTCTGAGACATGCAGGCATTAATTCATCTAGAGGCAATACAGTCAGTCCCCAAGAATATTGATCATTTGGATTCATTAGTTGAGAAATATATTGTGCCCAGCCCTGATAATTCCAGTGTAATGAGTACTGCTGATAGAGAAGAGATATCAAGCATATACTTGGAGGTAATATCCTTTTTCTTTTGAAAATTTTTTGGGATAACCAAGAAGTAACTTATTTTTTATTTTTGAACTGTTAGCTACTGTTTTTTAATTTGCATGTGTTTTGATTTGTGATCAAGGGGCCACATTGATTACGGCTGAAGTGGCTGAACTGAATAAGTTGTTGCCATAGTTTTCAAGGCGCCAAGGCGAGGCTAGGCGACAGGGGGCACCTAGTCGCCTAGGCAATGGATTTTTTTATGTAAAAAGCATAGATCCTAGGGTAGTTCCCTAGGTACCATAACCATATTTCCTTAATAATTATTCATAATTTTCATAAGAAAAATATAAAGTTCATATTAAAGTATAGAAAATCAACATATTCATGAGAAGAAAAAGAAGGAAAACAAAACTCAAAAAATAGGGGCTGAACCCTTAGTAGTAGTAGTAGTAGGCCCTTGCGCTTTTAAAGCACTGCTTGTCGCCTAGGCACGCGCCTTGTGCCTCAGGCACAAGGCGCCCGTCTTGCGCCTTGCTTAAAAAGGCACGCGCCTCGTCTTGCGCCTTGTGCCTCAGGCACAAATTGGCCCTTGCGCTTTTAACACTGCTTGTCGCCTAGGTGCCCGTCTAGGCGTCGCCCTAACAACTATGGCTATTGCTTTGTATTTCAGTGAATAAGTTATTAAGTAGTAGGTCATTTATAAAAAAAAAAGTTATTAAGTAGGTGTGAGCTTTCTAATCACTGAATGGTTTGTTGGGTTGATTGTTTTACCTAGCCGCTGAAACTTTGTCAACTAGAAGACAAAGCAATAAGTCATTCAGTTTGATTTGCATGAATTTTTTTATTGCATGATTTGTTTCTTGTGATCTGAACGAAAATCATGTTAAGTATTAAGTTTTTTGTGTTATGAAGTATGAACATTTTGCAAGGATGTTCCAAATGCATTTTTGTGGTAGAAGGTTTTATTTTTTTCTTTGTCCAAATTTTTAATACAGGTTTTATCTGTACTTTGTTGGAGTTAATGCTCTTGAGAGAGTACAATGGCGGGATAGGATTCTTGTAGCTGATCCCAAATAGTTGGGATTAAACCTGAGTCGAGTTTTATCTGTCCTTGGTTGGAGTATTGTAATGGAAGTTTGATACAAGTGAAATTATGGAACTTAATTACAAATTTGAGAGTGTACTTGCTGCTAACAGGCTTTAGACTCATTATCTGAATGCTATCCATCAGCAAGACTGGCAGAGCAACCTGGGCTGTGATCCCACTAGCAATTTTTTGGGTGATATGGTCTGAAAGGAACTCTCAAACTTTTGATCAGAAAAAGAGTTTGGAAGAAACTGTCATTAACTTGTCTTTTGGTTTGATTGGGGACTGGCTCTCAGCAAAATGTTTAATTAGTAGAGAGCACAATCATACTTTTTTTTTTGTCAATAGACTTTTTGGTCATACTGCCCTGGAGATAGTTGTATAAAATCTTTTTGTACATGGGTGTCATGGTGTTGACATCTAGTACAATACCTTTTTCAAAATAAAAGGCCATCTATTGGGCCTGGTTGCTTGGTAGTCGTTAGAAATTACCAAAATGTTCTTACTGCAACTATTGTTATGAGTTACCTGTAGTGGTTTTTGTTCCTAAATTGTAAACGAGTTAAAAATTTAAAGAAAGCTATTCTATTGGAGTTGTCTTGTGATTATGGGAATATCATTACTCTTTCCCTTTGTTGGAAATAAATCCAGCTTCCTACCCGTTTTGCAGTTTTTGGATCTCTTTGGAAATGCATCCTTGATCAAGAAGGCTGACGATCGGCATGCCAAGCTATTTTTATGCCATAGAAACACTTCAGAATTGCGAAAACGACTTGCTGAGGATTTTCTATCTTCGGACAAGGTAAAGCTGAACAAGTCTTACACAAATTCTCCCTTATCAGCACAATCGTTGATGGGTGCATATCCAAGCACTCAGAACCAGTGGACTGCTGGATATGGGTTACAACCTCAAGCTTGGCCACAGGCACAGGGGCAGCAGTGGAACTCCAGCTATGGTCAACAGGTAGTTATCCTTCAATATGATCTCAGATGCATTTTTTATTAATAACAAGTCAAATTTTATTGATTAATATAAACAATATGTACACAGTTAGAGCATCAAGGGATAATACTTATCCCAAGCATTCATGGGAGATTATACAATTGTCTCCTTTGGATCCTTCCCCTAAAACATTTGGACTCCATATGCCCCTTGCCTAGCTAGTGCATCTGCCATACTATTTGCACACCTAGGCACCCATTGAAATGTAATCACCAACTCTTCAGCCAACTTTCTAACTTCTCTTAAAGTATATCTGAATGACCATGTTCCTTAGTTGTTTTTCAACCAGTTCACAACCACTTTAGAGTCTCTCTCCACTACAATATTCCAATATTGAGAGTTTTTTTTTTCTTAATAGGAAACAGAAGTAAGTGCGTGTGTGTTAATTTTCTGAGTTCTGCTCTTTTTGGGTAGAGGCATGGTTTTTTGGGGTTCTGAGTGGGGACAGCTACAACTTTTAATTATATACAATTGGGCTGGAAAATGGACTCAGTTCCATTTCCACTCATTTTTAAAAACAGCTCTATTTATGATGGTAGCTTCTCATTTTGTTATGTTGTAGTTTATTCTGTGTCCATCAAACATTATGCCACGTGTATCTTTATAATTTCAGGCTGGGTATGCTGGCTATGGTGGTTATGTAAGTAGCTATGCTCATCAGCAGACGCCAACTTCAGCTCCACAGACTGCTGCTTATGGTACTTATCCTCAGACATATCCTGCCCAGGTACTGTGTTAAATAAATGTGGAAATCTCAAATATGAAGTTTCTGTTAAAGATTACCTCTTTTTGCTAAAGAGCACCCTTTGCTATTAATGGATGGGATAGTCATTTCTTTACAATTTGTTTTGTTTTTTTTTTTTAAATTTTCTAAAACTCCCTGCTGGAAGGCATTACAATTTCCTTTCTTGAGTATTTTTTTTAAATGTTAGTGAAGTTGGGATGTAGCCTAAGCAATGCCTAGGCCATTGCATAGACTTGTTTCATGCCTCTAGCTCAGAATAAATAGACGGCTTTCTGTTATAGATTACCTATTTTTGCTAAAGAGCACCCTTTGCTATTAAAGGATGGGATAGTCATTTCTTTACAAATTGTTTTGTTTTGTTTTTTTAATTTTCTAAAACTCCCTGCTGGAATGCATTACAATTTCCTTTCTTGAGTTTTTTTTTTTTTTAAATCTCAGTGAAGTCGGGATGTAGCCTAAGCAATGCCTAGGCCATTGCATAAGACTTGTTTCATGCCTCTAGCTCATAGAATAAATAGATGGCTTTGTGCTGAATGTAGTCAACCAAGGATTATTATGCAACACCCAGCAACAAAATCATAGGTTTTCAACATGTTTGCTTGCATGTTTTACTTCTTCTTTTTTTATCAAGGTTTTAATAGGCTAAAGGCCAAGACAGGGCTGCTGGACTTGTTAGGTGAGGCTTAGAACGTAAGGTGTTTTGACGCAGAGGCTGATAAAAAGTCAAAAGCTCTGATTTTAATTTATAAGCAATAAAGGGCATTCAAAAATATTTATCTAAGTTCCAAATGTAATAGGAAAATGTTAAGATTGCTACAAGGAGGTGGATGTAGCATTTGCTACCACCCCAACATGAGATTTGCAGGCTACCTTTGTTGCCATCATACCCAAAAAAAGTTGCAGATTCCCACCCATTGGACTTTTAGGCCTATCAGTTTAGTGGCAGAACTTCACAAAATCATGGCTAAGGTGCCTGATCTCATATCATTTTTCCATATTAGTGAATGTAAGGCAAAGGATTTCTTCCCAGCTAGAAGTGGCCTATGGCAGGATGAACCACCCTATCTCCCTTTTTATCCACCCTAGCAATAGATGTCCTTAGCTGCCTGATCTCTAGTGTTGTTTCAAGGAGTATTATTAGAGGATTCAAGGTGGGGTGTGGTGAGAGTGTGGTCTGTTGCATACAATTCATAGATGGTATCATATACTTCTGCAAGGATGAGAGCGAACCTAGGAAAAAAGCTTCTTAGTGGGTTTCAAATTTGATACGGATAAGGAAATGAGATTTGCCAAAGTTCATGGTTACTCAACCTCTTTGTGGCCATTGAACCACTGAACCTCTTCTTAATGGGGATCAAAGAAGGCTCGTCTCTTGGAGAAAGAATTACATCATCTTCGGAGAGAAACACTCTCATTAAGCCCACCCTTGGAGAATCACTCTTATTACTTCAACTCATGTCCTTTTTAGTCTGTCACTTGCTCTTCTTGCCCCCTCAACTTACAATAGATAACTTCTTATAAACATTGTATATGGTCTTCTTTGTACATCACCAAACCATCTTAGTCCACTCCTAGGTTCCTTGAAATGACTTTGTTGCTAACCTTGTCCTTTCTAGTTATTCCATTCATGCATCTTAATGTTCACATTTCTACAACGTTCATTTTTTGGGCATGTCTTGACTCCCCAATACTTCGCTTCATACAGAAATTTTTGCCATGCAACTGTTTTATCAGTGATTTAAAAGGCGTGCCTCAGGCACGCCTAGGCGCACAAGCGAGGTGCATTTCAGGGTAGGCGCCTTGCCCAGGTCGTAGGCACAACCCTTTCAACCTCGAGGGACGTGGTACAAAGGCGGCTCGTAGAATCAGGAATGTAATATGTTTTACATCACATTAGCTACTTGAAGTAATGCAATTGAGAAAAAAAGAGGGTGTGGGTTTTATATGCTTGAAAATGTTTTATATATTTGATTTTATTTTTAAATTCTCATTTGAATATTCTTTACATGTTATATTTATGTATTTTAATGTTAGATAATAGGTTTTTTAAAATATTTATTTTAAAATTAAAGTTTATATTTTTATTAATATTATGTTTAATAAATTTTTGATTTTTTTTTGCATTTTTTGAAAATTTTGGCCTTTTTTTTAATTTTTACGCCTTGCTTAAAAAGGCAAGCACCTCGCCTTGCGCCTCAGGTGCAAATTGACCCTTGCGCCTTGCGCTTTTAAAACAGTGTTTTCTAGAATATTTCTTTTAGCCTAAGTGGTAATTGCTTATCATATAAGTCCAACCTTGCAAATCTTTGTATTTAGTTCCACTCTTCCTTTAAAATCCCAGCTTTAATAGCTAAGAGATTGGTGAAGTTGATGAGAGATTTCCTATAGGAGCCGGGTGAAATAAGGAATTTCCACCTTATCAAATGGGAGGTAGATTGTGGATTGAAAAAGGGTGGGGGCTTAGGCATGGGAAAATCATTAAAAGAAACTCCTAATTGTTAGGGAAAGGTTTGTTGAGATTCCTAATTGATGTCAGTAAACTATGACAAACTATTATCAAGAGCATCTATGGGATGACACCAAACGGGTGGGAAGCAAAGGAGGCTTTGAGCATGGTTTCAAATGCCACGACATTTCGCTAATGTTGCCCGACATATGTCGATGTCGAGGCTCACTGACATGAAAATGGATGGTAATATAAAGTTTACATTATTTCGGTCGATATTTCCTATATTTCGGAAATGTTGACCAAATCGGTCCAAATAACAAAAAAAAAAGACGGTTTTCCTATTATGTTGACAGGATGTCGACTAATGTACATTTTGATGAATGATAATAAATTTATTAATTCAGAAGTAGATTTAGAGTGAGTTCATACAACATCCCAGGGAGAGGTGCGAGCTGCAGCCCCTTGACTAATGTACATTAATAATATAATATATTAGTATGTTATATTAATATAGTACAATATATTAATATAAATTATTCCATTAAAATTTCTATTTAATATTTCAAATAAAATATTTACAAAAAAAGAATTAACAAAAGAATAAATTAATTACTTTATAATATAAAACATAAAATATTTTTCAAGTAATAAAATATTAACTAGTTAGTATTTTTAAAATATTTATTAAAATCAGAAAATGTTTATTAAATTTTATAATAAACCATATTCTAAATTTAATATAAAAATCAGAATAAATTTATTATATTTTATACTAAATCATAATTTATTATAAATTTAGTATTCAAAATCATAATAAATTCATTAAGTTTTTTAAGAAATCAGAATTTGTCATAATCTTAATACTACAAAAAGGAGAATCAGTTTATTAAATTTATAATAAAACATAATGTATTATAACTTTAATATTTAAAAAATCAGAATAAATATATTTCTATTTACTAGTGTGAAATAAATATATTAGAATTTATGATAAATCAGAACTAAAAACAAGAAAAGAAAATATCAGTTAATCTTGTAAAAACATCAAAATGCATAATAAATCAGTAAATCGTCATTTACTAATTTGTTATTGATCTTAGTTCCTTAGCTTTATATAATGATTGGGAATAAGATAATAGTCTAGAAATATGTATTAATACTTCTTTTATCATTTTACAAAATATCATTGCATATTTCCATATATTTCATAATATTTCCACAATGTCTCTAATTTTTACAATATTTCCCCTCGACATTTCCGACATATGTCCTATATTTTGGTAAGCGACATTTACATCGACATCGACATTTTAAACCTTGGCTCTAAGGATATCCTTCCCTTAGAAACAATATTTGACCCATATCATTCCTTTTTTGGAGAGAAGGTAAAGTATAAATACATTAATATCAACAGAAAGTACAGTACTCAGGGGCCCTAAAAACCTGTCCCCTCTAACATTGACCCCCTACCCTGCTTTACAAAAAGATTGTCATGTACAAAAAGGACTCAAAGCCTACACCTTAAACAACCTAATACAATGCAACCATGAAAACATCTTTCCCAAAATTTTCTGATAAATAGCATCAGCAGAACTAGACTTGTTTTTGAAGACCCTAGCATTCATCTACTGCCAAAGACACCAAAACACCACCGCTGGAGTTATATTCCAGATCAGCTTTTGGGAGGACTTACGAAGGGAGGATACTAACTTCAAAGAAAGATTTCCTATTATTTACTTATCCTTAATAACGTGTGTTTGGACCCCTCTGAACCAAATAAATGCATTTAGACTCCCCAACATAAGGGCCTTTTTTTTCATGGGCCTCCTTGTTTAAATTTTTGTGCCTTTCTTCACTCCCTCTTGTTTTTTCCTTCTAAGGAGGCTTTGTGTAGATCTATTCCACCCAAAGTAGGACTGTAGGAGCCTTATTGGGAACTGGCTCATGGGAAGATCAAACTGGTTTCTCCAAATTGGTGTGTTCTCTATGAATTCAATGGAGAGAGTTATCTTTTACTTATCTCCTATCCTTTTACTATAGATGGAATTGCTTATTCTCTTTGTTTGGGTGCATGTGGAATCTGCCAATGAAGGTGAAGATACTTTTTGTCCTTATATTTCTGCTTGGCCTAAGAAAAGTGGAAGACTTATGTGGAGATGTGTGAGAACAACATGGATCTCTACCATTTGGGAAGAGAGGAATTCTAGAATATTCTCTTTTGATGATATATCGAGAAATTGGGTGCTCATGGCAAGAAATGCTTCTAGAAAGGAGAGAGTGAAACCGATGTAGATGGCTCCTCTTGAAGGATACTTGAAGTTTAAATTTTGATGGGAGTAGTAAAGGCAACCCATGAACCTCTGGTATAGGAGGGGTGGTGAGAGATAAAGGACATATTATTTGCTTTGTTCTCAAGTCCATTAGGAGTGGGTAATTCTATTAGAGCTGAATTGCTTGCTGCATTACAAGGATTGCATATTGTAGTGATTTAAAAGGCACACCTAGGTGCACAAGTGAGGTGCATTTTAGGGTA